AGCTCTGATGGTACCAAACTTCAGGCCATGAAGAAAAACTGTAGTGAGGGCACTTACCGTGGCGTTGTATTAAGTGGCATCGAAGATGGAAGTGCCGAGTTTGCCGCTTCTCACAGGAATCACATACAACCTCTGATAACCTGTATAGCGGAGAGGTTTGCCTCATTTACAGAGAATGAGGCACTGTCAGCTGTCTCTTCCCTGGATCCGAAGACATGGCCAGAGGACCTGAAGGATTACGAGTTTAGTGACAAAGGTGTGAGGATCCTGCTGGACCATTTCAAAGATGTTCTCCTGGCACACGAATGTGACTCTGATCTGGCAATGGCTGAATGGGTGCGACTGAAGTAAATCATATACATCCTTGCGTTATGTCCGCAAACCCGGTAGGAACTGTCGACGGCACCAAAATGTAACGATGAAGATGACGTTACCCGCTTAAATGTAGATCTGTTGTAGCGATGAATAATGAAACTCCAAACTCCAAGCAGTAGTGTTCAGCAAATAGTATCTTGTTTCTCAAACCACATACGCTCGCACAGAGGCACGCAGACGCGTGCCTCGCGCACTCACGTCCGATCTCTCTCACCACCAAGAACCTTCTCCCTTATACCTTTCTAGATAACAAAGGACGTCGCGCGCGCCCGGACAACCGACATGTGCTGCCTACATGTACAACAACTCCCTCGCAACCCTTTCGCATCTCCATCATCCATACTACAACAAACACGCTACCGCCGACCAACACATTATGCAACCGCAGTCGCTACATTTCCAAACACTCAACTACTATTTGTGACATCTGCAACCCATACTTTACACTACTACAAACCTCGGATGACGTGGCAAAGCTTGTGGGGAACACTGTTCCTGAAGAGGGAAAACGAATTCCCCAATTTCTTCCATGTCATCGAGATTGTTCAGGTGATGCCTCTTGCAACCGCGAAAGTGGAGCGTGGGTTCTCTTTGATGAACCGGATCAAGACGGACTGGCGAGTCCGGCTCAACACCTTCACTTTAGATGATGTAATGATCATCTCCCGAGAGGGCCCCTCCGAAGAGCAGTACTCTTCAAGCTCGGCTGTGACCAAGTGGCACAAAGCAGGGAAACACAGCAGACGGACACATGTTGAACCGTATGGCCAACGGCCAGCAGATTCTTTGGGGCTAGAGGAAGAAACAAAACTAAAATTGAGAACACTGATGAAAAATAATTACCAAAAAGGGTGAAGAAATATTTGTGGTTTTATTTTTGTGATTGGTCCCAGTGGGACCGTCCCATGTTATCATGATAAATTTAGTTTGTAGTCATCCACATGATCATTTTAGATTAATTCTAAATTCCTAATCATTAACTCAACCCATGCTAGAACTCCAGAGTACCTCTAATGTGTCCAGTCTAAACATGACATCTGTTGCCAAATAAATCTTATTGTAATGACAATAATGCATTTGCCAAAAAGTAGAGATTAGAGGAAAATGTGTACTTACAACAACATCTGTAAATCTTTCCACTCATTCGTGTGATGGTGTCAAATTCCATGTCTGTCTCATTCAAATAAACACAAATTAAAATAGTGCTCTTGTGAATTCTTGCATTGCTAGTATGTGCTGTGCTGTGAGCCTGTGAAACGGTGTGATGCTGCACATGTTTGGTGTGATGCTGCATGCTGATGCCATGACCAGCTGGGTGAAGTACTGAAGTTGTCTGGTAAAAAGGTTTATTTCAAATTTTATCCAGTTCTTTCAATAACTATACAATAAATACACAACATATTTGTGATTTGGCGATATGAACTAGGCAGAAACTATAAAAACAGGCTGCTAGGTAAAAACTGCTATTCAACAACTTATCTTGTTTTTTTATTCAAGTGCAAAGAAAGTAGCCCCCGAAATTTGAAAAAGTAGCCCCGGAAATAGTAGCCCCCGAAGTGGGAAAAGTAGCCCCAGAAAATTGAAAAAGTAGCCCCCGAAATTTTTGGTCACTGTTATGATTTATACTATTATTATTATATTATTATTATTTATATATTAATTCCTGTTGTTGGAAGCACTATGACAGCATAGTGCCCCCAACAACAGGCATTAATGTTTTTAGTGCATCACATGACTATGCAATCTACTTATACTCCCTAATTTGCCGGTGCATTCGATGTAACAAAACGTTCGACACAAACACAACCGCCGTTCGAAACTCTTGCGTGGCGCCCAGACGCAGGAGATTCGTGACGTAAACACAATGCGTTATAATAACAATGCGTCGCGCAAGCAATAGTGCTCGCTCAGGCGGGCACTATTTGCTTCATAGTGCCTGCTGCGTTATCCAATAGAATTTCAACGATTTATCACGTGATGCACTAATATGATATAATGATTTATGCTAAGAAACATCAAAGTGGGTATAGCGCCATCTACCATCACAAATTGTGATTCATTTTTAGCTCACCTTGACATCGTCAAGCTGAGCTATTGCCATGGGTCGTCGACCGTCGTACGTCCGTCCGTCCGTCAACATTTGCTCATTTTTGTTATGTGAATGAATAAGGGCTAGGGGTTTTGATATTTAAAAAAAAAATTATGCTAATTAGGTAGGGTTTGGCAATTATATAGCATATTATATAGACAAACAGTCTGTGGTGTCACACTCGTCTGGTTCGTTTTACAAGATTTTATTGACAATATCTTTAATGCAAAATTGGTATTTCCTCTACACCCTGCCGATAAAACGTCTATATTAGAGTAAAGTTTTTCAAAACATGTCGGAACGCAGCATAACCTATTTATTTCGAACGCCATCACTAAGAAACATCAAAGCGGGTATAGCGCCATCTACCGTCACAAATTGTGATTCATTTTGGTTTATAAATTATTATTGCGATATAAAGATGGCAACCGTGTGCTACCGCCTAGAAAAACTCATACGAAGTAAACACTTCCATGCAACCAATTAACCTTTGACAAAAGTTGTGTTATGGGCAGGGAAACACCATTGTCACGTGGTATATAGCAGCTACGTGGAATAAGCGTATCCTCTCAATCTTACACGTTAATCATCGGGAGCTCCACTTTTAGGCAGTGCCTAAATCTGAATATTATAAAAACGTTAAATGGCGATCATTTAGGTGTAACACCATCACTCGCCCACATCTCAGACTTTCACATCTCAAACATTTATTTTTGAACATAAAAAATTACACATAATTATCATGAGTATATAATGGGAGTTCTCCCATATATACTCTTCGTTTCTATAATGTACGTCGATGGTTGCTCAATTAAAACTGACTTCTCACTCACTCATTTGTGTCCTTTTTTGTGGTGAGCTACAGTGTCATTGACACTCATTTATTCTTCAATCCTGCAAGAAAAAATTACCTTACATATGTCACGCAAGTCACATTTATGGGCTGTCACGCGAGTCACCTGCCTGCACTGTTTATCAGTATGAGAGGAATGATGTCTTTTTAAACAAATATACAATTTGAGAAGTAAGCACTGACATTTACAATTACTTTGAACATAGAACCACATGAAAGTTACTAATAAAAATTAAAATAGGATATCACAAACTATTCTGCGTGACTCGCGTGACGGGCTACTAACACGTGTTTTGAAGTATACTTCACACCTAAGCGATTTTGTAAAATATTATAAGTTTGATCTGAGTTATACCCGGTGAACTAGGTACCCAATACCCTTCATCACTCCATACATCATTTGCATTGCTAGAAACCTTTCTTCAAGTGAGCAACATTCTCCTAAGTATGTGACTTGTGTGACATTGTAGCTCATAGTATTAACAAATGTTAGGGTAATCAAAATTTTGATGACTGAAATGCTTTGATCCATGAAGAAAAAGTTAATACTTAGTTACTACCATATGATCCATTGTGAAAACAGGGGAAATATTGTAAGTCTCAGTTTTGTATAGGAAGAATGGTGCATACGCTATGCATAGGTTGCCAACATACAATATTTTCCCTGTTTTTACAATTAATCACCTGGTAGTAACTAAGTATTAACTTTTTCTTCATGGATCATAACATTTTAGTCTTCAAAATTCTGATTACGCTAACATTTGTTAATGCTATGAGCTACTACGTCACACGAGTCACAGAATAATGTCACGCGAGTCACATACTCTGGAGGATGTTGCTCACTTCAGATGAGGTTTCTAGCATTGCAAATGATGCATGGAGTGATCAAGGGTATTGGGTACCTAGTTCACCAGGTATAACTCAGATAAACCTTATAGTATTAGAACTACGAAAAGTCTAAAGTGTGAAGTATACTTAAAAACATGTGTTAGTAGCCCGTCACGCGAGTCACGCACAATAGTTCATGATATCTGAGAAAATATTAGTGTGGCTGCAATAACTTCAATGCTAAAATGTGCATAACTGGTAGTGGTACCTTTGCTAAAATCGTTTTTTAAACAAGTAGCAGCAAGCTAATATAGGACTGCCAAACCATTAAAAGTTGGATTTTTGTAAAAATGTCACATGAGTCATGGTGGAATGACTGATATGTAAAGTTTGAATGGCATAGCTTGAACATAGGTTAAATTTTATTGCTATAGCATGTGCATAGATAAATTGCATGTACCGTATTTCATGACTTGTAAGATGCTCCAATTCATTAGATTGGCAAAAAATTTAGAACGTAATATTAATAATCTAAAAAAAAGACTGCAAGACTGCATAATAGCTCTCCACACTAACCCATATATACTCACTGTAGATAAGGCTGCACGTTTGCGCTTAATGGTTTCACACCTCAAATTTCCTGTATATACCATATCATAGCTAAAAAAAATAGCTGTTTGCTACACTGACCTTCAGCTTATAGGATGTAATGTGGTTTTTGGAGAATTTTTTTTAGAAAAAATTGTTTCCTATAAATAACAAATCACAGTATGTAAGTGTTGAGTGTCTACATCTGTAACATGCGCATATGTGTATAACATCTGAGTATATATGCAAGGTGACTCATGGTTTTAGCTGCGCAGCAAGCTGTGAGTCAGGCTGAGACAGATACAAAGCAGGCCACCATGAAGCTGAAGCATGCCAAGGATGAGATCAAGAAGAAGGGTGCAAACTTGAAAGAGACAGAGCGCGTGTACAAGAAGGAACAGGCCAACCATGAAGCTGTGCAAGCGGAATTAAAGAAACTGCAGGTAAGTCAGTAAGTTATTTCCTTGTGGTGCTAGCATGATCCCACTTTCAACAGGGGCAGGGGAACAACTGTGCACTCACATGACTATGTTGTTGCGATGTGCAGGCTCAGATGGACAAGTTGGACTATAGCACTGAAAGTGAAGAAGAACTGACTGCTAAGAGACGAACCCTAGCTAAAGAAGTAAATGATTTATGGGAGACTGTAGAGAATGCTGAGTCCAGGTATGAAATGTCCATATTCCGATTCTTTATTAGCCCTGATATGACCCTAAATCATAATGTTGCATTTGGTACTATTAGACGTTTAAAGTGGATATTTTTTATTAAATCCTCCCTGTTTATACGGGTATATAGAGTGGAAGAGTGCAATAGCTTTGTTGTCCAATTGTGTTTCAGTATGCCCCAGCTAAGGTTTGAGTACACCGATCCTGAGAAGAATTTTGACAGACGTAAGGTCGCTGGCCTCGTTGCTAAACTGGTCAGAGTGAAGGATGTAACTACAGCCACTGCTCTAGAGGTGGTTGCAGGTGGCAAGGTGTGTGTACCTTCAATTGTCCTGAAAACCTGACTTCTTTTCCAGTTGATTGTCTCTCAATGCAGATTTGTCTCCAATATTCAGCTGTTTAAAATTCTCGTTATTCGAATTTTTTCTTATTTCTTGTCGGCCGTAATTCAAATAACAGTCTAACCTGTGTAAGCTGACAATTCTATAAAACAGGCACTTGTCTATAAAGGACAATTTTGGCATTTCCAGTGAGTGACCCTAAAACATGTACATATGTACATAAGTTTTACTGTATGTTTGGTGTGCAATGTATCGCTAGTACGAAGCATCTTTAGGCATTCACCTATAATGTAGCGATGCTGCTGTTGCAGTTGTACAATGTCATCGTTGACACTGAGCAGACAGGAAAGAAGTTGCTCGAACATGGCAAACTGAAGCGACGCTACACGATTATTCCTCTCAACAAGATCCAGGCATATCCCATCTCTGACAACGTGGTGAAGACGGCAAAGTCGCTGGTAAGTGCACTTTATCTTGCTTTTTCACTTTGCTGCTCTCACTCCTGTGCCCCTTTAAAGGTGTTCAGGAATCATCAGTGAGTATGGACGTCTTACATGGTAGAGTCTTAATATGAGTAATTATGAAAAGTAAAAACACTAAAAATTCTACAATCATCTATGCTTTTTCTCTTTGTGAAAATTTACAGTTTTGCACCATTTAGTGTTGATATCTGTTGCTGAAGGCTGTTATAGACCAATAAATATCGATACATCTTGATATCAATCGGTCACTTTCACTTATCTTCTTCTATCTTTATATACCACTGTACCATCGATCATTATATGTAGAATTATACATCCACGTTCTACTATGGAGGATAAAAGCAAATGTTATAAATTTGTGTATGTGTTAAAAACTGGTGGTTTGTTGCTGTACAAACCGCGGGAAAATCGCAATGCTGGCTCGAGCTGTGTGTCGATCACTCTGGGCGGTCAGGCGATGCGCATGCTCTGACCAAGCATTGTCGTCACGCAGGTTGGTAAAGACAACGTTCACACGGCGCTCTCGCTCGTCGGCTACGAGGATGACCTCCACGCCGCCATGGAATTTGTCTTCGGCTCGACCTTCATATGCGCCAGCATGGAAGCCGCCAAGAGCGTGACGTTCCACGAGAAGATCAAGAAGCGCTCGGTGACGTTGGCCGGCGAGACGTATGACCCGCAAGGGACATTGTCCGGAGGTGGGTGTGCGGACCGACGTCTGAAAATTACTATAAATAATATTTGATGAAAGAACGACACGGTCATGAATTTATTCTGGACTGCAAGACATAAGTATAACACAAGATGCTCATGACTCATCAAAATATTCAAAACAAGATAACACGCCATTTGTAAATGTTTGTTTTGGTCTACGATCGGTAGATAAGTAATGTTTCTGACGTGTTTTCTATGAAAAACACAGTTTACTAATTTTAAAATATAAAATATAATATCACTATAATTGTAATTCTTAGTGTAAATGTGTTATTTTTATCTTAATATTAAAGTTACGAAAGGGTCTGGGCTCTCGTAATATTAACAGGAATTTTGAGAAGATTTTTCGTTCTCGTAACTTCACAATATTTCTGTCAATGGTTTACGAGTCGGAGTTAATGTTAAGACTAATGTTAAGCCTAATTTTGTTCCTGACAACGGGCGCCTGGATAGTTTTGCCTGTGTGCTGGCCGGATAATCCCACCACTTCTTTCTCATGTGTGTTGTTCTCACTGTCGCATTGTTTGCTTGCAGGTGCCCGACCACAGGACAGCTCTGTACTGCAACGCCTGCAGAAGGTGATCGAGGCGGAGAATTTACTGAAGCAGAAGCGTGCCGAGTTAAATCAGATTGACGCCAATCTCCAAAAGATGAACAAAGTCTCGAAGCAGTAGGTTACAGTCGGGGTAGTTTCAGACTCACTCAACCTGTGAGTTATATCACAATCAGTCGTGCAGCAAGGGAAATCAAAGCAGTAGTCAATTGTGTGTAAATAATAGATATGCACTTTTCTGTTATACACATGGCAATGTAGTTATTGACCTACATCTCTGCAATCAACATGTACACACTTAAAAAAACAAGTTAACAATATTTTAGTACCAGCTGTGGGAGTTTACTAGGGAGTGTTCTACAGATCTCTACATTAGTTGTAAAATTTAAAAGATTTCTGCGTTTCACTATATGTTTGCATGTGATGTCGGCTGGCAATTTGCTAACTCTAACAGTCATCTGCTCGTGATGTTATGTACAGGTATGGACAGCTGAAGCAACAGTATGACCTTAAGGTGCTCGAGGCAAACGTGATGCTCTCTAATCTGCAACAAAGCCGACATCAGCAGCAACTGACGGAGCTAGAGGCACTGAAGGAATCTATTGGTGAGCTATTCTCAGCAGGAAAATCAAAATCGCTTAAGGTGTGTGATTGTTGGCACACGTGTTTCACGTGGTTGCAAAGCAGAACAAGCTCAAGTCGTCGACTTCATATTTCGGAAGCACGCTCACCCAATTATTTTTGTCATTAAGAACACGTTTACTTTTATGTTAAATCCAAGTATATTGACATGTTGGCAACAGTTTTGGCAACCGGTCTAGCTGTCTTTCTCTAACTGAATAAAATCGCTTGGACTTGTCACCAGTTTGACAAAGCACACAGCTAGGTCACTTATCAAAATTGTTGATAAGAAATTAACGCACTTGGATTTATCATCAATTTATACTCGTAATGTTGTTATGGAATTCTATGACTTTATTCCAAGTATTGTTATAATTGTTATTGTGCAGGTGAGCAGGAGGAAGTTCTTGAACAAGCAAAACAGGTGCACAAGAAAGCAACGCAGAAGGCCAAAGAGCTGGCAAACAAGATCAGCGATGCAAAGAACATTCGCGAACGTGAGCTCAAGAGCACCGAGAAGAAGGTTGCTGACGAGAAGAAAAAGATGGAGGCATCCAGCAAGCAGATGCGGGAGAAGCAGCAGGTAAGAGAGAGGGGGAGGTGTGTGAACTGACGGCGTTAGAATTGACCTGTTGGTTGGCCCCGTGTACCTCCACACAAGAATCGTCACAGCAATTAACCACCATTGTATTCAGTGTTTCCCCTGCATTGACACGAGCGTGGCGGCCGCCACGCAGAAATTTATCCAAAAACACCGCCTCGCTGATGAAAATCACTGTTCTTCCATCAATAAACTACACTTTTTTGACAGCGTTCGAAATTAGTACCGACTCGGAGGCCTGAGGCCACCAAGTTTTTGCTTCGGCTACCATCTCTACGAAACTGCCGGTCCTCCTGACCGGCACTTTTCCCCCTAATATTACGCTGAAATACTACGGTTATCGCAACAGTAGTTTAGATAGAATTTTAAACTGGTGCATTCTAATACGCTCCATTCCTGAACGTAGACGGGGTATCCAAAACATCTAGAGCCGAGGGCATGAACTCCCTCAACGCATGATTCGCCACACGAACAAAACCTCATGACAGTCTAAGAAATCGATTGCGGCGGCATGTACCGTAGCCCAGTGTTTTTATGCCCGCATAACAATAAGTTAATATCTCGCAGGGGTTATCGTGGGGAGTGAGGGCACGACCAATGACACCTGACACGCACGTAATCAAAGCTGTTAACTGAATTCGTCACTTTTCTTTACGTAGAACAGTAGAAAGTGGACTATTTTTATTCAGTTAGATATCTAGAACATGTAGAAGCAATGTAAACTGTATATACTTCAAGATTCTAGGCACTTGTAACTTTGCGAATATGCGGCAGCATTGATCTATGCATGGGGGTACCGTGGACTGGGGAGGAGAAAAACGAAAGTAAAACCTTTCCCAGAAGCTTGTTTGTTCCTTTTGACAACTTGAAAAAGTGATTCAAGAGTCTCATATAATGTGTTCAGAATAGCTTAGAATGCACCAAATTGCAAATTTTTTTTTTTCTGGGGGAGCATGCCCCCGGACCCCCCTAGCATGGCGATCACCTTTGATGCTCGGATTGCGCAACCACCAAGAAAAATTTTACTGCGTGGCCCTAGCTGACCTTTTTGGCCAGGGGAAACACTGCTACCTGTAACACCTCAAATCTGTTGCCCTCAATATGACGCTGTCTATATCATGGCTATCGCCACTGTCACGTCTTCCAGGAAATGGACACTGTGAAGCTGGAGATTGAGGAGCTGCAAGCTTCACTGGATACATATGCCAATCAGCTGACCGCTACTGATGAGGCCATATCTGCTATAAATGAGCAGCTGAAGACACTTGATGAAGCACTTGCTTTGGTCAAGGTATGATATCAGTTGGTGCAAAGTATTTCTATCGCTGTTACACTTAATTACCGATAGTTTTAAGTAAATCTCGGTAAGTATGCATAACGTTTGAAAATATATTCAAGGGACACAGGTACTCATCGACACAGGTCCTATGGTAATAGACAGTAGACTTGTACTGCGGGTCTAATCTAATAAATCACGCTTACTTATTAAATGCGGTGCCTTTCTATGCCACACATGGCATTGAAATATAAATGTTTCAACTGGGATAATGCTAAAGAAGGTATCTTGCTTTTACAACAACTTCAAGACTGCTCTCTCCATAGCTCCCTCTACCCTAGACATCAGCCCATACAACTGCCCTCTATTCTTAGCTGTAATGCCACTCTCCTTAACCACAGCCACAAAACTGCAACCACTATATACAATCAAAACCTGTAGAACCACTCTCAAACTTTCTCCATTTTCAGCCAATCTGTCTATCATCAACTGTTCTCACTATTGAACACACGTTCATTGTACCTAGGCCGACATCGCACAGATCCAGGGGAAACTTGCAGAGGTGCGAAAAGTGTTGATGAAACGTAACAAAGAGATTGCTGAGCAGCAGACACAGCAGGAGGCATTGCGCAAGGAGCGCCACACGACAGAGCTGCGCGTCACAGAGCTGCAGCATGACGTCAAGAAGCAGGAGAAGTCATCGAAAGACATGGAGGCAAAGGTACGCGAGCCATCTTTACTTGACCGACTTACATGATAATATCAGTGTGTATGCATCCACCCAGTGTATAACGGGACACGTGAGGAAGTGCGTGGTGGTGAGAAAGTGAACTGGGATGGTAGTAGTAAAGCTAAAACTAGTAACAAACCTGTAGCATGCGTGATGGTGTTAAACTGAACTTTTGTTCTGTATTGTGTGATAGCAGGATTACCATGTACAGTATGGTATATGGGGCATAGTGGAGATAATTATTATATTGATGATAGCTGACATTAAAAAAAAGTTTTCTCTGGATGTTGGGTTCATTGCAGGTACAGCAAATGTTTGAGAGCTATGACTGGATCTTAGAGGAGAGGAAGTATTTTGGCCAGGCCGACACTGCCTATAACTTTGAAAAGAACAATCCAAAGGAAGCATCAAAAAAGTTACAGAAGCTGCAGGAGACTAAAGAGAGACTGGGAAAGACTGTCAACATGCGAGCCATGACCATGCTGGGGAAAGCAGAGGAGCAGGTACATAATCGTTACATATGAAAAAACAGAACTGACCACCATCTAGGTAATGTAACAGAAACAAACAAACTGTTGGGCAAATGACAAGACCATGTTGAATAAATATTAATCAAACAAGAATATCTTGGGTTCTCTACTACACAAAGTCATATAAGAGAGCAATGCAGTCAGGTGTTATCAATACCGGAGTCCTCTGCAACGCGTCGTTCATCCAGGCAAATGCCAGCTGGCAGGAAGAAGTTCACTCGTGCATGGAGATTATGAGTGATCTAATCGGTGATCTAAGTCATTAGTAGAGTCATCTCATCCAAAAATTCTCACAATATTTTCAGTAATATCCATCCATGCCTAGAAACGTCATGAGGTCCTTTCCGGGGGTGGCCCCAGAAAGTTCACGAAATACTTTCGACCTTGGCCGTTATGAGTTACTTAATCCTGGCCAAAGATGTGTCAGAGATAAACAATTTAATTGATTTTAGGGTCAACCATCAATGTTTCGTAGTCTAGTGCCAGTGGTGTTTTATTTCTCACATTAACGTTAGATGCTTAGGTAATGATAATCATTCATAACAATGGGACGTTACAGGTTCTCTCCTAGGTTATAACACTCATAGGAATTTTTTTTCTCCAGTACCAAGATCTTATGAAGAAGAAGAAGATAGTTGAAAATGATAAGTTGAAGATTGCAGCGACAATTGCTGAGCTGGATGAAAAAAAGAATGAGGTTTTGATGAAAGCGCACAAGCAAGTTAACAAGGTAAGATATGCTTCCTAGCAGGTTATAACAAGGTAGGATACACTCACTAGCAGGTTATAACAGGGTAGGATATGCTCACCAGCAGGTTATAACAAGGTAGGATACACTGACCAGCAGGTTATGACAAGGTAGGATTAGCTCACCAGCAGGTTATAACAAGGTAGTATATGCTCACCAGCAGGTTATAACAAGGTAGGGTACGCTCACCAGCAGGTTATAACAAGGTAGGATACACTCACCAGCAGGTTATAACAAGGTAGGATACGCTCACTAGCAGGTTATAACAAGGTAGGATACACTCACCAGCAGGTTATAACAAGGTAGGATACACTCACTAGTAGGTTATAACAAGGTAGGATACACTCACTAACAGGTTATAACAAGGTAGGATACACTCACTAGCAGGTAATAACAAGGTAGGATACGCTCACTAGCAGGTTATAACAAGGTAGGATACGCTCACCAGCAGGTTATGACAAGGTAGGATGCATTCATCAACGGGTAAAACACTTTCAGGTATTCATCACATTCGTCCGCCTAATGGTACTCCTTTTTCTACGTCAGGATTTCAGCTCTATCTTCTCGACGCTGTTACCGGGAAGCTGTGCAAAGCTTGCACCACCCGAGGGACAGTCTGTGCTGGATGGACTCGAAGTAAAGGTTGCGTTTGGAGACGTGTGGAAGGAGTCCCTAAGCGAGCTTAGTGGTGGACAGAGGTGAGGAGGACAAATTGGGAATCTGGGGATGGAAATGTCAGAGATGAGATTAGCTAAAAGAAGTGGGGACTAGGAGCGACAGCGAGATAGGAGGCAGAGACGCCAAGTAAATTTGAAACAGGCATAAGAGTAAGGAATTATAGGACTCCTACAACCCCCACACACATACTTGTCAGTCTACATATACATTGTAAGCCTTAGTTCGAAGATCCCACCTCTCGAAAGGCTGAAGATCCAGGAAGCAAATTTCGTGAATCAAAAAAAACATAATGAACTAAGAAGATAAATTTGTGGATACTATATTTTATAATACAAAACTATATAAAACCATATAAAACACTAAACTAATAATTAAAAAATGCATTTTAATTTACATTCACAGAATTAGCTTTTCCACTATTATTTTGGTAAAACTAAAACTAAATAGAGATCATATCATGTCTAATTATATAGGAATACCCACATATTTCTTTATTGGATAAAATGAGACACCTGAGCAAACTTAAGACATATATATTCAGTGGCTAATTAGAAACGGCACCACATCGTTATCACAATTTTTAGCTCATCTGACATAGTCACATGCAGCTTGTAGAATCGCATGATCGTCCGTCCGTCCGTCCGTCCGTCAACAGTTCGGCACAAATCTTAACCGCTTGACGTACGGTCACGATATTCGGGACGTGGGGGGGTAATCCGAAAACGAGTTGGGATGTCGACGCTGGGGGTCAAAGGTCAAGAGGTGTGAAAGAAGGGGAAACATTCACTCCTTAACTTAAGGTATAGGGAGGAAATGCAGAATTGCGGCACAAATCTAAACGGCTCGACCTAGGCTCGTGATAGTCGGTGTATGAGCATCGATGGTAGGAAAAGCCATCACTTGTGACGAAATTGGGAGGCGGGTCACAGGTCAAAGGCAATTGGGCACAGGGCATGATTTTAGAGCATTTTCTGAGGACATGGTGTACGAGCGATTTGGAAAACTTTTTTGTTTCAGGCGTGCTGACCTGGAAGCATTTTGTACTGCTTTACTTGAAAGCGACCATGAATGTGCTACACCTTCGGAGCGAAGAAGTAAGTGTCTGATTACCTGTTTGACCCCAAGAGGAGGGATTTAAACATGGATTTTCGTTAACTGTTACGTGTTAGAAAGGAATTTGAACGCTGGTTTGCTAGTAGAATCTATACATGCCTGGGGATGCTATGAGGCTACATATGTCACAAGTTGAATTTTCAAAAGGCTAAATTTGCTGTTCGAAAGAAGTGTTTAGTGCTTGCCTTAAATCGTATAAGTTTCTATGGCATCTCGTACGGTCAGTGTTGTTAATATTGCCACTGCCAGTGCATGCTGTGGTGGATAGTATGGTGTAGTTTTTGCACTGCGTTAATTCAGATAGCAAGGTGGCAGCTCTCTATTTCAAGCCTGTAGGCTTTGGTTAGGTTAAATGGACGAGTGCTTACCTATGACTGTCTGTCTTGCAAATAGTTAGTTCACGTATACTTACGTAGTAGTACGTACGATGGAAGCTACCAGCTAACCAACGTAACCGCCATCTCGTGGCAATTTCATAACGATCCCAACGAACATTCTCGAGAAGGCTCCTGTCACAGGCCCGTCTTCACCCATCCTGCACGGTCGTTTGGAAATGAAGGGCTTATCCGTGTTTTCGTACTTGTCCATTTCCACGGAGGACAAGTAGATCTGTCAAGGGATAGCTTTGTCTGCTGGAGCAAGGCAGCTTTTTAGGAGCAATTTTTCATAATTTTCTACAATCCGCTGGCCGCGCTGCTGAAACCCGAGTTAACATTAGTATAACACATGGCTGCCGGAGTGCACTCACGAGATTAACATATACTATAGGGTATAAACATTTATGTGAGCTATATAAAAACGTTACCGCTGGCTAGCTCCAACGAAAACGGTCCTTGCTAGGTGTTAGCAGACCATCAGTACAATCAGGTCCTGTTAGACAACTGCAGACGCAGCTTATAGACAACTCATGTTCGTACAGGCCTCGTCGGTCACGCGCTACGCTTCGAGAAAGAGAGAAATTGAGAGAGAGCGAGAGAGGAGAGCCAGAGGGAAGGCAGAGTTTGGAGGAGAGAGAGAGCCGCGAGAAGAGGAAGAGAGAGAGAGAGAGGAGGATAGAGACGAAAAGAGAGAGGAGCAGAGAGATAGAAGAGAGAGAGAGAGAGAGAAAGACAAAGACAAAGAACGTTGATGTCGAAATGATGTAGAAACAGATCCAAACTTGTGTGGTAAACTGTACAACTTTTAATACTCATACACTGTGTTGCCACCTCATCAGACAATCACACAAACAGACAAAGAACGCCGCACACGCGCATACGCGCGTGTGCTCAGCTCGCTGCCCAGAACCCGAATCCCGAATCCCCTTCCTATTACATCTCTCCCTATATCTTGAGCGCACATGTCACCCGTTCTGTCCGTTCCAACCGTTCCCCTCATTTCACAATCACCCTAGAAACTGCCTAACCTAGAATGCGCTTATCCAACTCCCTGTAAAATCAATGCTGCCGCCCAATATGCGCGACGTTCTGTCTAGCTAGACCATATGGCTAAAACAACTACCAGTCTATCTCCACTCGACTAATCCATGTAACGTGTATAAAATAGACGTTACATGAGTGCGAGCGAGAGAGAGAGGGAGAGAGAGCGTGAAGGGAAGAGAGAGCAAGAGAGAGAGAGAGAGAGAGAGAGAGAGAGAGAGAGAGAGTGTGTGATCGAGCGAGAGAGAGAGCGCGAAGGGAAGAGATAGCAAGAGCGAGAGAGCGAAAGAGAAAGAATGAGAGACAACGAGGGAGAGCGAACGCGGCGATGGGAGGGTGCTCTTGATTCGTTTGCCCCTGAGTTTAGCATCAGAACACCTACCGTCAGGTGAGCGCTGTCGCTCTGCGGCACTTGTTAGGGAGTCCTACGTACTATAGGTGATGCAAGTAAAAAAAATCCATGAAATCCACACACTCGCATAAGATTCTAATACCTGTGGAAGAGAGAATGTAAAGTAGAACTAGGGGTAGGGAATATCGATAAGTGACAGGATTGTGCCTGTTAGCCGTGGAGGTCTAGCTCTCACATGCTGAATGAAAGGAGGAAAAAACGTCTGAGATGCCATGCAATTGTAATCAGCTGACACCTCTTTACAGGTCTCTGGTCGCTCTGTCACTCATTCTATCGCTCTTGCTGTTCAAACCGGCACCTCTGTACATTCTGGACGAGGTTGATGCTGCACTAGACCTCTCTCACACGCAGAACATTGGCCAGATGCTTCAGACGCACTTCAGGCATTCACAGGTAAGTGAAACTGGTGATGTAGAACACAAGCATTAGTGATCAGTTAGCAATCAGTCAGTCAGGCAGTCACTGCTAACATCTAAACACCATTAATTTGAATAACTCGACACTTATCTACACAGGCATGGGAATTTTCCGCGGATCCGCAGATTTCAGCATTTTTTGCTAACCACCTGGGTCATTTTTTAGAAACGTGCAAATCCGTTGAGATGTGGGTGGGTGGAGGACGGATTAAACCCCACTGTGTGTCCCGCCAACAAAATTTGATGATGCTGTGACTTAATTTAACCCTTTCCGACTACACAACGGGAAATCCCGTCGTATTTTTTTTTCCCTTCAGACTACAAAACGGGATATCCCGTCGTTGATTTTCGATTTGAATTTCCCGCGAACAAATGCGCATCTAAATTTCGTGAACGTAATACGATGTAGCTGGAACCAGACTAAACCAGTTCCGGTAACCATTTCGTTTGTGATAGCGTTGTATTTTCCGAAAGTTTTAACTTTTACAGTTTTTTACAATGT